ACAATCTATTGCCTCTCATATCTTTGCACACAGAGCACACACCATAAACACACACACCCTATTTTGCTTATCATAAAGTATCTTTCAATTAAGATGCATTCCTTACAGCCAGCTTTGGGTCAATAAAAGCATTATATGTTAATGTGACTTTCAAGATAGATGGAATTCCTACAGTGATCTATCTCCAACTCAAAATAAACTTTTGCTTTAGGTTCATTGCATGAAATGTAAAACCAAACCAAACCAAACAGAAAGTTGTCCCACTGGATTTCCAAACTCACTGGCTACTTCAACAATTTATGTAAGTGAAGCATAACTGAATGAAAACATAGACTCCTTGTACCATTAATGAACCTGATGTAGGATGCTGAGCTGAAAATAAAGTAAGACACTGTGTGTGCATGTGTGTAGTATGTGTACAAATTTGGGTCAACTGCTCTTTTACAATGTAATATAAGACTAAGGCCTAAACTGTAGTTAGTTTAACAAACGGCACTGGAACCAAACCCATAGTTATGTCAATGAAGACTCAATCATCCAAGCCAAACATGTCTAAAGGTGAAACTTGGCAACTGGACCAACCTTTGTTCATCTGAGATGTTTCATTGCATTCCCTTGATGATTGAGTCTTCATTGACATATTGAAACCCATTTTGGGGAGAAACCCCTGAAGTTGGTGTGGCAAGAGTTGGTACATTCCAACCATTCTCTGACTCTCTAACTAATTTTGCTCTGACTGATGAAGTTGCTTGGATGAGTAACTTATACTTCTTCTGAATTTTCTGCTAATACCCATGGAACCAGCAAATACATTATATAATTATAGTCTCCCAATATCTACAGATAAAACTTGAATGCTGAAAGCAGGGAAACTTGTTATTATTGTTATCTGAGTTAGGAGTCAAAAGGATATGATTGAGGGATGAGCCTATTTCTCTATATAGAATATTAATAAAGATAGTATTCTAACTGATCATTCCATCATTACATTCACATTAATTGAATTGTATGTGCTTAAAATCATAGGGCCAATGAAGATAATTGGGGAACAAGGTGAAATGAATGGGAGACATTCTCCCAGTTGTTATTCCAACATAAATAAATGAATGTCCCTATTATATAAACTGAATTTCATAATCTGGATCTGCACTATTAGGAACATTTTAGTTCACCAACTAAAGGCAGAAATGAGCAGAAACAGATATTATTTAATAAGACCTCTATTTTATAACCTGAGATTCCTAATAATTGTGTGCCCCATCCCAAAGTTTTGGATATGAGCCCCAAACTAAAAATTGTTATCAAATTGTATTTTAACATCACCAAATGAGAAATCATTAATTATATTAACCATATTTAATTTGAACTAAATTCAGAATTGAATTCAGTTAAAGCAATTTCATTAATTTGATTTTTGTCCCAATCCTGCCCTCTACTCTTTTTATTTTTATTTTCAACCCAACAGTATGTCAGAAAGAAATTAAGTAAAGGAACTATCTGAGTAATTAAGTAAAGAAACTACCTAAGCAGAGTAACTCTACAGAAACATAACAAAACCAGACCACATTTGGTGTGGAGAGAGGTAGAAAGAAAGAAAGAAAGAAAGAAAGAAAGAAAGAAAGA